GGCGGCGGCGGCGGCGGCGGCGGCGGCGGCGGCGCACGCCTTTAATCCCAGCACTCGGGAGGCAGAGCCAGGCGGATCTCTGTGAGTTCGAGGCCAGTCTGGGCTACCAAGTGAGTCCCAGGAAAGGCGCAAAGCTACACAGAGAAACCCTGTCTCAAAAAAAGTAAAAAATAAAGTCCTGATGTGCTTCCAAATTGATGAGCCTTGAGGACACTGCTAAATAAAGGATGCTAGTCACGTGTCACATGATATCAGGGTGGGAAACTCTGAGGAAATGTAGATCCACAGACAGACCTGCCTGGAGCTCACAGATTCACCTGGGTAAGGAGGAAATGAGGTGTGGACGTGGATGGGGAGAGGTTCTTTTGGGACACCAAGTGTTCCCCAACAAGATCTGAAAAGTGGTCACGTAGCTGAATATAAGGACACGGTGAAATGCGCACTTTAAAAGGTGAGCAAAGTCACACAGAGAGACACCTCAACAGCTTTCACACAAAGGTCCTGTCTGATTCTTAATCTTAAGAATACATTTCAGAAAGCCACCCGGCAAAGGCTCGTGACTAGAACCTTGTACTCAGCTTGCAGGACCCTGAAGGCGAAGCTCTGCACACTGAGCATGAGAGGAAGGCAGAAGCCACATGGACAGTGAGCAAGTCAGACCTCCTCCACACCAGTGAGTCCTGCTGCCGATCTTCACCTATCAGAGCTGAGTGACGGCACTACATACAAACAAGCCAAACACTGGTTGTAATTAACTCTATGGCTAATGTACACAGTTAAAGACATGGGCTTCAAAATAATTAGACTGATTTGGTTTGAGGGAGGTGGAAAAAGAAACAGTGTCAAGAACTGTAAACACAAATGCCTTTCCACCTGCCCAGCACACGGTCAAGGGACTGTGTTGACTGAACCAACCCCAACCAAGGCCGTGTGCCCAGCTCCTGGCCATTCAGAGCAGCACACTCAAACTCCAACAAGAGGTGGACTATGAGGAAGTGACGCTGTCCTGCAACACTTGCTGTTTTGTGTCTGAAAGCAGTGCCTGGGGCAGGAGCTCAGGATGGAGATGAAATGGCTTCACCATGTCCCCAGACTGTTCCGATGACAGCAGGGGGACAGAGCAGGGGTCTCGGTCACACATCATCAGCATTGTCGGAGCAGCTGTACCCCAGAAGGACACAGTACCACAGATTGGACAGGCATGGAATAGCTGCTCAGAGGTCCCAACCTTCCTTGAGCCGTGGCTCCAGGATATTGAAAGAATCCCCCTGAACCTCGACAGTATCAAGAACACGAAGTGCCCCGTGTTTCCAGCCCACACTCCATTTCCCAATAGTGTGTTACATACAAAAAAGTTCTCCACGTGAAATTCGTAAGTGTAGGGCTTCAAGGAGATGGTCAGCCGCTCTTCAGAAGCTGGGGAAAACCCCACAGAGAACTGGCAGTGCAGAGGAGGGGGAGGCTCCTGCGTCCACGTCAACTCCCAGACAAAGAACACGGACTGCTTGCTGTGGATAAGCTGCAATGAGAAGCACGACTTTGGTCACAGTGCCAGGAGCCTTGGGGAGGACATGGGCCTTCCACTGTGCAAAGGGGCATGTGTCAGGCAGTCTGCTGGGAGCCTGTGGGTTCCTGTGCTTTATCAGCACTTACCACTGCCTCCTCAGTCCTGCCTGCCTGGCCTGACACAGAGCCTGGCCCCCAGCTGGTAAAAGGAGTCTGCTTTATGACTTCCTGCACTCTCAGCCTCAGAGATCACGAAAAGGAGCTTTCAGAATCATTATTAGTACACAGCAAGCTCCCTACATGGCTCCATAATGGAGCATTAATGCCACTGTCAAAGCTGGACCGATGGCACTACCCAGAGATGGTGGAAACTTCAGGAGGTGGGTTAGTAATTGAGGAAGGATATGAAAAAAACAACTGGGGTCTTGCCTGCCTTCCTCTCTTCCCCCTGGTTCCCATGAGGTAATGGCAACAGCAGGTCTGCTCTACCATGCTTTCCCCTCCATGACGTGCTGCCCCTGCACAGGCCCCAAAGCAACCAGGCAAAGTGACCATGGACTAAAACCTCTGGAACCAAAGACACCTTCCTTCTTTCCGGTGACTGCTCTCAGGCACTGTATCACAGTGACAGATAGTTAACATGACCATCACCCAGTTTACAGCCATGGCAATCATTTCCTATTAACATAAAATAACTCAGAAACAAGTCTAGCCAGATACATGGCCTAAACACCAGGGTCCATGCCTACAGGCTCAGGGACAGGTTCAACAGAGAGGTGATAATGGCCAAATAAATATCAATGGGGAAGCCTTGAAAACACTGAAGCTACAGTCACGAGACACCAGGAATCCTCTGAGCAACAGCCAGCAACACTGACTGTCCAAAAGTACACAGGAAAGGGCAAAACATGTTAGGGAGCGAGGGCCCAGATGTGTTCTTCCTACCTACAGCACAGAGTATGGTAGGCCTTTACCTACAGCAGCGCAGGACCACACTGTCTCAGGGTGACAGCCTGCACGCAATTAAGGTCACATACAAGCCTCTGTTTACATAATCCCACATGGGACAGGGCGAGATCAAGGGCGAATTCTAAAATGACAAAGGCATTCCTGTGCCCTCTGCTGTCCGCTCGGCCTTCCAAGCCCACCTGTTCCACAGGTGAACTACGCAGGCATACGGCACCAGTGCGGCTCTGACCCAGGCCCTCCTTGCTGCCCGTAAGCTCATCCAATCAGCTGCAGGCTCTGGTCGGCTGCAGCCAGTCCCTCTGGTCTCCTTCCCTGAATCTGGCACTCAGACCAGAGCAGTTACCTGCTGAGACTGCGTGTTCAGGGGTTCCAGCCTCAGGTCAGTAGCATGGCCCATGTCTTCCAGACGACTATCAGACAGCTCAAAGTCCAGTTCTGACAGGTTCTGGACACGGACTTGCACGTATTTCCTAAAGTACAGGAACAAAGTGGGTCACTCAGGACTCTTACTCCCAATGTCTGGACCATGTGAAAGGGAGCCCCTGCTCGAGGGAATCCTGAAAGAACACAGGAGGAGTGACTGGTGTCGAGGCTTTCATCCGGGACACATTAACGGTTCGTTTCAAACAGGCAGTCTGGGAGACAATGGACCTGAGGACGGAGAGTTGATGTGTTGCACTGCGCAGTGTCTAAGAGCCAGTGGGTTTCTTGGGAGAAGCCTGACTGTCCTCCCCACTTCAGGTTCTCCCTGCTCACTTCTGTTATCTGGAGGACATTGAAAAGCAAGTCTTTAAGAAAGACTTAGAGTCAGCATGGGAACAAATCTCTGTGCATGTCCAAGATGGCTGGTTGTCCACATCAGGTTAACAGAGGTGAAGGCCCACCCTCAATTCAGAGGTGCCGCTCCATGGACGGGCATCCCAGCTGGATAAAAAGGAAGTGGAGCACTAGCCTTCATCTCTCTCTGCTTTCTGACTGTGACACAACATGACCGGCCGTCCACTGCTCTGCTGCCATCCCTTCCCTTCCCTGCCATGGTGGACTGTTCCCCAGAACTGAGCTCAAACAAACCCTTCTTAAGTTGTTCTTGTCACAGCAACCAGACAAGTATAATTACAGCCGGCTTTTCAGCCGCTTCAAAAAGGCAGCCGTGTTCTTTTAGAGATTACTGAGGGTTTCAACCTTGGCATGGAATGTTTCTCTGCTGTGTGTTACATGAAGAGCAAAGATACTGGAGGTATAACATTTCATTCTTAAAACTTACCCAAACCCGTCAGTCCCAAGAATCCCAAGAAAGAAGGACTGTGACAGTGAGAGGTAAGAGTCAGGTGGTGCCAGCGTTGTCATTTAAAGCAGGAAGAGCAGACACTGTGTGGCCCTGACACTATGCTGTCACCTCTAAACTCGCCCTAGGTTTGATGAGTAGGAGTGCTCAGCTAGGCAACTTGGCTCCTGCTGGAAGACATCTTCACAGCTGAAGCATCTGCGGCTGGGATACTGCTGTAGTGAGAGCACCCAGACGTGCTGCTGCTGAGCACTCTGCAGAGTATGGAACAGCCAAGAAGCACAAGGCCCCAAGTATTAGTGCTTTAAAAACTACCCTGGAAGTAGCTGACAGTTACCAAAGGCGCTACGACAGAGGACTAGGTACACAAAACTATGAGGATGACAGGGCAGCTCAGCTCATAACACCTTGTAGAAGTTGAACAAGCGGAATCTGACAGTTAGCCAGCAGTTGAAGATCTTGTTGTTCTAACCTCGGCACAGCGGCTGTGTCCTAATCTACCGCTATTTCAGCCAGCAACTGCAACTCGGCAGTTACCGGCCTGTTTCTCTAGCAGCAGCCTGGCCACTCAGGCTGCAGCCTGGCGCGAATTCTGTTCCCGCAGGCACTGGCCCTGTCACTGCCACTAAAGGTAGCTTTACCTAAATTTCTATCGTTCTATTTATGAATAGACTCACAATTCAAAGGCTGGGGTGAAAACCTGCGAGCTCAGACAGGCAGAGTAGCTGGTGTCTCTGAAAGACGCGTGCTTCTGCTCCGCCAAACCAGAAAAACCCGTGCTGCTCGAAATCTATCCCTACTACTCCGAGTCTCTCTAGCTCTCCTGGATGCTCTATGATTACTTTCTGTCAACTAACTCGGCCTCCTACCCAAGGGTAATTTTATTTAATCAATGCAATTGCAAACTCGAAGTTCACAGTGTGATCAAATATCCCCCAACAAGATCTGGTTTGGATTTCACCTACAACTTTATACTGACATGTCAGCTGTGAGGCAGAGAAGCTGGGAACATGGCCTGGGGACCCAGGACACAGGGAGCTACTCTAGTAATGTGTAAAAACCCCAGTGACACACAAGGACAAGCTATGCACCCTGTCCATTCAGGGGGAAGAAGCAGAGCTGGCCCCATTCCATCCTTACCGAGTTCCAGCGGAGAGCAGAGAGTGCGTGGTCCTGAAGGGCACACTGAATGTCAGTGCAATGACAGTGGAGTAGATAGACCACGGGCAGTCAATGGACACCTGCGAAGACACAGAGGCCCCTTTACCCACTGTCCAACAGCACAACTCTGCCCCCCTCTGCCCAGCTGCAGTGGCTTTACTGTGGTTCACCACCACTGTCCCGAGAGGAAATTCTATTAGACATATTTTCACATGAACAAGTGAAAAGGAAAACAAGGAGCTGCAGAGTCAACCAGAAATGGGGACGGAATTGGAAATGGTCCCAGAACACCAGCTCAGCTCCCAGCACAGGCATCTGGGCAGGAAAGAGCAAGACCACCTGTGTTTCATGCATCTGGGGTCAAGACTCCAAATGCACCTCACAGTGAAGCATGTGTCTCAAGGCTCTAAGCAACCATGAGCCACCGGAAAGCAAGCAATCACGCAATTACTTCACCTGTCTGACAGAACCCAGCTAAAGGCCAACCAAAGTGAGGGTATGGTGTAGACAGAGAGAGACACTCCCTAGGGGCGGGAGAGGAGCAGGTCTTGAGTTTGCTTTTATCTATTGGGTGCAAACCACATCTCCCACTAACGGAGGATGATGATCTTTACCTCTTGCATTCTCTGCACAGGGTGCAGGGAGAAATTTCCTAACTACTCTTGAGAGACTGTGCAGTGGTTTGAATGTAAATGACCCCCATAAGCTTGTGTTTGAACACTTGGTCCTTAGTTGGTGGAACTGTTAGGGAAAGATTAGGAGGTGTGGCCATATTGAGGAGGTGTCGCTGGAGGCAGGCTCTGAGGTTTTAAGAGCCTACCATTCCCAGTTAGCTCTCTGCCTCATGCTTGTGGATCAAAATGTAAGCTCTCAGCTACGACGCCAGTCCCACGCCTGCCTACATGTTGCTATGCTCCCCACCATGATGGTCATGGATTCTAACCCTCTGAAACCATAAGCCACAAATCAAATGCTTTCCTTTATAAGCTCTCTGGGTTATAGTATTTTATCATAGCAACAGACTGGAAAGGAAAATCTCTTCTACAGAGACTATTTTATACCTTAAGCCACAATGCATTTAAAGTGATGTTGTCTGAGGCCTGTCCTACTGTTCCTGTACCCACACTGCACAATGTGGGAGGCTCAAAAGGGGCCACAGGATTGGAACCTGTGGCACAGGAGGTGGACACACCTGGCAATACTCCATGGGCTGATTTCACATGCAGCACCTTTGACCAGAGCAACCATCTCTCTGAATAGCTGTCACCATGTGACAGCCCCAGAGACCACTCCAATAGAGATGTTCCTGGCTGAGTCAACCCAGGGTCCATGTGACACAAACCCCTGCAACCTGGTCATAGGATGCCTGGGTCCACCCTCCTCCCAGTGTCATGATGACTCCACTTCAGTCAAATCAGAGCCTCGATGTCTTCTATGGCAGCTGCAGCTCGGATGAGCGCACAGGGGAGCACAGACTCCATGCTCCTCCTACCCAGACAGGCAGAGGCACAAGCCAAGACCTCTCTACCTTGTGATCTGTGGTGACCATGCAATGGTCAGTTCTCTGTGTGTCTTTCTGCTTCCTGTGGGGCTCTGGTGTCCCCAGAATACTGGTATCCCCACCAGCTGCTGGAGCTGAAGGTAAAGACAGAACCTCCAGCTCAAACTCGATCACGTGGTATGCAGGTGCAGTGGGAAGACCGATGCTTGTGACCTTGTCAGAGGACTGGATCCGAAGTAAGGCAGTGGAGCTCTCCTCTGTGGGAGACAGAAAGTCACCTCATGTCAAGTAGGGAACAGGCACAATGGGAGGCACTGCTGAGCTCTCGCTGTCCTGTGTACATCAATGAGGACAGTGCTAGGGGACAGGCAGGGAAATCCAAGACCCAAGACGGGGCTCCACAGGAGGCTGGCACCAGGCACTGCTCAAAGCACAGACAGGCAGGGGCAGCTCCCACACGGCTGCACGCTCCGTCTCAGGGCAGACCTACGCCTGCCCCAAGGAAAAAGAAGACGAGGGCTAGGGATGGTGCCTAAAAGGGTTAGGAGCCGCTTCTGCTCTTCAGTGGTGTGTGGGGTGGATGGGCCTGGAGAACTGCACCCCTGTGGAACATGGTCCAGCTATAAACTGCACTGAGAGTGTCTAGCAAGGCTGGCAGCATTTGGCACCTAATGAATACACCATGCACAGTATATGTCTCTATATGTATGCCCCACTCAGGTGCTAGCTCAGGCCATCTACAAATGCTGACCTCAGAGGACAAGACAAGGTGCCACAAAAGGGTCAGGACAGTGATGCCTGTTTATTCCCCCATCCTCGAAATGTGTGAATACAAGTGCACCAGCACCTGCCTGCCTTACCTCTTGAGTTAGAGTAGACCACGGCTCTGTTCTCCCCCTGACACAAGATGAGCATGGCTTCAACATTGCTGAGCTGGAGGCTGTCTCCATTTTTTACTGTATAATGGCCAGTAGTGACAGTAAACTTGACTTTCTGAGGAATGCCCGCCAAAAGGCTATCTAAATGAAACAAGACCGCAATTAGGACCGCTGTTCCCCAGAGCAGCGGCAGGAGCCGGGGAGAGGTGAAAAGACCTTTTCTTTCTTTTGCTGCAGCTTGTTAGCCCTGGACACCACTCCCCCTGGCCTCGCCTTTTCCTCGGTGGCAGCCACAGGACTCAGCAGGACTTCCCTAAGAACGAAGGACACTGTGCCCTCAAGGGAAGAGGGGGTCTCCTGGGCTCCGGAGTGAGAGATTATGGTGTTCACCCAGTTATCAAGTCAGACAGGCGGCTCCAGGACAGAGGAAGGAAGCGGGCACTGGAGCTGCTCAGAAAGGAGCAGGCCATCCCCAGGGCAGAGGAAAAGGTGAGAGGCCAGAGACAAGAAGGAAAGGCAGGAGAGGGAGACAAGGCCACGGCAGAAGGGGAACGAGCCAGGGCTTCCTCGGAGCTCAGCTCACGCTGTCCCCCATGCATTTCCATGGAAGAACCCCTAGAGATTGCTGTGCCTGACCCTCCAGGGCATTGCTGGTTGCCCAGGCAGAAGCTGGGAAATGAAAAAGTAGAGAAAACTGGGGTGATTTAACAAAAAAAAAGAAAGAAAAGAAAAAGGAAAATGCTTTCCGTTCTGTGTTTTTCCTTCTGTTTTAGGTAAGAGGTCTATCATGGCTCACAGCTAAAGTCAAGATCTGCATCTGCATCTGGTAATGGCCTCCTGAGGCAGCCAAGGCCTGCATGGAAAGACGGAGTGTGTGTGGTTCATGTGTGCACTTGGTGTGAATCTGGATGAGCATCCTTGAATTTGTTTATGTATGGAAGAAAACAGCAAATAAAAGGTGTTCCAGGTCCAAAACCTTGCCTCTCTGGTGTTCCAGAACACGCACATGGCAGGAGTCACTTGTGAATGCTGCTCCTTCTACTCTGAAAGCTTACCAGCAGGACAGAATCTCGGGGTTTCTTAGGGCCATGCTGTGGAGTCAAGCCCACTCAGAACTTGAAGGGGGAAACCTGATCAGAGTGTGAACTGCCCTCTGTGTGCCGCCACCAAAAGGGAGCCAGTTGTACAAGGTCCCTGCAGAACACCTCCGTGTCTTCCTTTCAGATACGCCATGGTTACTATGCATGACGGCAATCACACGACAGGGGCTTCCAGGCCATTCCCACCACCCTTTCTTGGAGTCCCCTGCAGGTAGACAGCAGAGGAGCAAGGAGCTGTGGAAAATGGATATCAGACCCTCCCTGGAGCCCTCTGTGGCTTCCCGGGTGGCTGCAGGTTCCACTCACCAGCCAGTGGTTCCACATGCAGCTGAGGCTCCTGAGAGTACACATCGTACTGTACTATGGGGTGGATGTGTGCAAGGACAAACCACACGGGGCCCACCGAGGCCCGGAGCTGTCGCAGCGTGTATGTTCCAGGTTCCTTGGCCTAGGGGCAAAACAGGCACTTGGAAAGACGACACTTTCTGTGTTACAAGTTCCCCAGGTAGAGATGGTCTGTCCTCTCACTCAAAAGCTACCCATCTTCCCTTCAGCCCTCTGTCCTGAGCATCACATCTGCACCCATGCTGCTCCAACAAAGCTCTGGCTCTCAAGCCCTTCTGAGCAACTGATGCTTCTGGTTCAATATTAGCCTCTAATGAGGCAGACACAGGGTAAGGACCTGTTCATGGCACACTTCTGGGAAGGTAATGAGGGAGACATTCAGCAGGTGTGAGTCCCACTAGGGCAAGACCATATCCAGGGGAGGCAAAAACATCTTCCTCAGACCCTGTCCTCCCATGAGGTGAAACCAAAAGGGCATGTTCCATCAGAGCAAAGGGCACAGTCCTGACATCTGTGCATCCACCAAACAGAACAGCTTACAGGGCAGGTCACCTTCAAAATCTCCTCAACAGCCAAACTACTGTGTAAGTACAAAGGTTGAATCTTCACTAGGATAAAGAAAAACCTGGAAGCCTCAGAGGGCCTCACAGCGCTCTCAGGCTCCCTCCCCGTCTCTACCAACTTGAGAGCCATGTCCTGAGCCCAGCCCAACCCATACCTGGGTCCTGAATGCTATCTTGTTGGCTCCTGGTTGCAGAGTCACATTGTTGCACCTCAGCACATGGGCCCCATCCTCCAGGGCCAATCCTGAGGGTGTCTCTAGAGAGGAGCCACTCTCCTGCCTCCTTAGGAGCATGTGGACATTCCTACAAATAATGCCCGTGGTGTTCAAAGAATTATCAGAGGGGCTTCTCTCCAACATCTCCGACAACTCCAGGGCAGGCAGGCTGTTCTGAGATGCAGGGAACACGGAGGCCTCGGCTGGGAAGGTGATGATTCCATTGGAAGTCTTGTGCTTGGTCAGCCACTCAGCTGTCTTCCGGTAGTTGTTTTTTTCAATGCTAAAGTGGACGTTGACAGCAATCTGGTCCACGTGGACAGGGACAGGCATCTGGCTACATACTGTTATCTCCACGGTCAGGACACCACCCGCATGGACCACAGCGTTGGGAGGGTCAAAATGGAGATCCTTCAGCCGTGCAAAGGAGTGCATGGGCAGCACCACCTTGTGACCTGCAAACACACACTCCGTGTCCCACACTCGAGCCATAGCTCCTGCGGGCAGTGGGAGACAGTGTACTACCAGCTCAGGACCAGGGATGTTTATTTACAACAAAGACTGCAAGCTTTCCAACCTCCCCAGTTCTGTACACCACAAAGGCAGATAAAACAAATACTTCTAGAAGTCTGGGAATGAGCAAATTAACAGCAGTGAAGATTTTCAAAGCTGTTTTGGCAAATTTAGGAGGAACCAAGAACAACCGCTCCCTAATTTCAAACTCAAACTGGTCAGCACTCTGACTCCCAGAGTCACCTGCGAGGGACCCGAGCACCTTCCCAAGCAGCTCTTAGAAAGTGAAGAAGCCCAGTGCTCCACCACGCCCTCAAAGTCAGCCCTGGCGTCTGCCAGACTACGGACACAGCAGAGGGACAGCTGCCTACTGTTTGGGGACGGGAGTGGGGACAGCAGACACTGAGATGCGTGAGAGCCCACAGTGTTCTCTGCAGCCTCTTCTGTCTTCCTCTGCCCACGTGCCTTGGTGGTGTTTGGGAAGAGTACAATGCTACAGAACCACGGAACAGGAATAACACACTGAAGGAGAGTCTGGGGATGGGTTCCGTGGAAGTGGGTCAATGCTTGGTGTGTGTGCATGTGTCTCTCCATTCGGAAGCTCAGCATCCACATACGAGCCAAGCACAGCGGTCTGCGTCTGTTACCGCAGCACTGCGAGCAGAGACAGGCACATTCCAGAGCTCTCCGGACCCCAGCCCAGAAACAGAAAACTCTAGGTTCAATGAGAGACCTTGTCTCCAAACCAAGTGGAGAAGTGAGTGAGAAAGACATCCTGACATCACTCCTGGCCTACGCCTACACACACACACACACACACACACACACAC